AACCGTTCTGGCAAGGGCTGGCCATGGCTGGAGAGGAGGGTTAGGAAGGGGTTCGCACCATCTCAGATGAGAAAAGCCTTTCCCGCAGCCTCATCTTTGGCCGCAGGCAACTGCAAGGCAGCAGCATGGGGGGTTCAAATGCCCGTTTTGTGGGCTTTGGGTCTGGTCTCAGCGTGGCTGCTGGCCTGGTCCATAGGGGTCTTCCTTTACAGTGAGGTAAATTACTTGAATCAGACAAGGTTTTTTTGGGCTCTAGAAAAACGTGGCCAACCTCCATGGCCAGCGAGGGACCGGGGTGGCAGGAGGAGACCCCCTGTTCCCGGTGCGTGTCTAAGTGACACAGCGAATGCGGTTTCAGCTGGCTCCCTCACGTTTCCCAGGTCTGAACGGTCATTACTGCTCAAGCAAAGCCAGGGCTTTTCTCCCAGAATAAGAATAAAGCCCCATTAAACCCACCTAATGACAACACAAATCATGTTGAACAGAAAATGGCTTGTGTTCCCTGCTCTGTCTTCGGAGGCTTGTGGGTTTTGTTCTGCTTTTCCCATTCCTAATTTGCCTGTGGGAAACGCTGCCTCCCCCCAGCCCTCCCCACAGGAGCACACAATAGCCGCTTGTTTTTTGCTTGGAAGCAATTGCTGAGCCTTTAAATGGCTGGAATTGAGTTTATTTTTCTTCTGTACTTCAGCTCATTCATTACCTCAGTCATAGCATCCTAAAAGTGAGGATTTCCAAGAGCACTGGAATTTCCCTCCTCTTTTTTTTTTCCCCCTCCAAAGATGCTCTGCATCTTAAACTTCATGCACCAGCCCAATGTTAGAGTCACTAACTAATCCTGCGGTGAAGTGTTAGCTTCCAAAAAATTAATTCATGTGCCATTAAGCAAGTATGATCTGAGTAGTGAGGACCAGCAAGAGCTGATGGCAATGTAGCCGGCTCAAACACAACTGTAAAGGTCAATTATTTTTTATGTCAGAGAGACTTGGAAAGTTTAGTAAAACTGAACGAGAACCGATGACAGTCGGGGTGACCGGCTGGGCCCAGCTGAGCGGAGGCTGCTTGGGCTGGCTCTTACCTCCCGCACTCTGGAGTTGAGGGCAGGGAAATGCCTCAGGGAGTTCCCCAGGTTTTGAGGATGCTCTTGCCTCTGCAATTGCTTTCTTTAAGCTGCTCTGCCCTTCCAGGAACCTTACGGCTTCTGTGCACATTAAGAGGTTTAAAGGCCACACCACAGCACGCACGCCTGGATGCCACACTCGCCCCGAACTTTCAGAGAGTACAGGCAAGTGTGGCGCAGGGCAGCACCTTCAAGGAAGGCACCCTTCAGAGAGACAGGTGGCCTCTAGCACTGCTCTAGGTTGCACTGCACTGAGCTTCAAAGGTATAATGGTTGGTGCTAATATTTCTCAGATTGTCTGTAAATGAGGGGAAAAAAAGGCTTTTATACCTTTGAAATATACTGACATGTAATTATTTATTCATAATATATTAATACTGCAGAATTAAACCAAGTGCAAACAGGACTCTCTTCAGAGCTAGGCTACGCACCTTCCCAATCCTGGCCTGTGGCATAACCAATATGTAGCACATCCAGAGCAATCAGCTCCTTGGGGTCATCTTTTTGTCCCTCACTCTGTCCTCTACAGATGCTCATCTTCCTAAATGGTCTCTGAGGACCTGCCTTTTACCTGCAGACCAGGTAACCTTCTAGGTCATGACACTCTTCCCTGACTGTGTCATGAGCTAATCTAGATGACTTCTTTCTTATCTTCTGGGGAGGTTTACTGAGAATGTCTTGAAGTAGCAGCAACCCTCAAGAAACGGGCTCTTGTTTAATGTCCACCAGTGTTGGCCTCTTCTACATGTACTTGGTAGCCTGGAAAAGCTCGATCCTGTCCCTCCTTGCAGACTCCAAGGTGACTTTCTGCCACCTTTCTTTAAGCTGTGCCTGCAAGCTGGAGAAAAGTGCTGAAGTAGGTTACTTTCCAGCTGATCACCTTCACAAATTCTAATCTTTCAGTTTTACAGGAAAAAAAACACCTGTTGTGGTTTAACCCGGCTGGCAACTAAGCACCACGCAGCCACTCGCTCACTCCCCCCCTCCCTCAGTAGGATAGGGGAGAGAATTGGGAAGGAAAAAAAAAGGTTAGAGCCGAGGGCTGAGATAAAGACAGTTTAAAAAGAGAAAATAATAATAATAGTAATAATGAGAATGGTAACAGAATATACAGAATATACAAAACAAATGATGCACAATGCACTTGCTCACCACTCGCCAACCGATGCCCAGCCCGCCCCGAGCCGCGATCGCTCCCCGAGCCACGATCAGTCCCCGAGCCGCGAGCACTCTCCCTGCAACCGACCGACTGACTGACCCCGCCGAGCCTGACGTTATATGGTATGGAATAGCTCTTTGGTCAGTTTGGGTTAGCTGTCCTAGCTGTGCTCCCTCCCAGCTTGTTATGCACCTGGCTGAGCAGGAGAAGCTCAAAAAGTCCTTGAGTTGTCTGAGCACTACTTGGCAACAACTAAAAACATCAGTGTGTTAGCAACATTCTTGTAGTACTAAATCCAAAACACAGCAC